TTGCATAGATTTCGGAATAACGAGTAAGTGAGGAAGTCCGACTGATCATTGATAGATATTTTTTGATGGAGATCGACATTTATAGAGAATACCGTTAATTAGAGTAAAAGAGGGATAGAGATTATTAATGAAGGGATGACTGAGACCTGATAATTTATCAATGATAATATGAAGGTGATGGTCTTTATATTGTTCGATTCGGATATTTTCGAGGAGAGTACAATTGTCACAAAAATTGAGTGTAGATGTATGTATTGTTCCATTTAACACAGCGAGATTAGGGAGAGGATAACGAGATAATGAATCAGAGTTTGTATTTGTTTTTCCTGGTTTATATTTGATGCTAACAATGTTAAATGCTGATAGACTTATTGCCCATCGAGCTAATCGTCCAGACGAATCTTTTGTTTCAAGAAGCCATTGTAGTGCCCTACAATCAGATCGAATATAGATTTTTGTACCTTCTAAATAGGGTCGAAAATGTTTGGTGGCTCAATAAATAGCTAGAGCTTCTTTTTCTGTAGGAAAATAATTTCTCTCAGCTGCTGTTTGAGTTCGGCTAGCGTAAGCAATAACAAATTTTTTTATTATCATATTCTTGAGTAAGGACAGCAACAAGACCATAATCACAGGCATCTGTTTCCAAAATGAAAGGTTCATTAAAATTTGGAGCTCGAAGTATAGGAGCCTGAGTAAGTGCAGTTTTTAATCGTTCAAAGGCTATAGTACACTCAACAGACCATTCTATATTATTTGGTGGACGTTTAGATTTTTGATGAGAACGTATTTTAGCGTAATCTTTTATAAATTTTCTGTAGTATCCAGTTAAGCCTAAAAATGATTGAATGTCTTTTAATCGTGTAGGTTGAGGAAAAAGTTTCACGGAATCGATTAGACCGGGATCAGGTTTAATACCGTCAGGAGTAATAATATGTCCTAAGTACTTTAATTCTTTTCTACAAAAATCACATTTTGAGGCTTTAAGAATAAGTCCAGCAGTTTTGAGACGATCAAAGACAGAGGATAAATCTTTAAGATGTTGTTCAAAGGTGGAAGAGAATACGATAATATCATCTATATAGACAAGACATGACTGCCATTTTATTTCAGCTAAGATAAGATCCATTAATCTCTGAAATGTGGCAGGAGCATTAGACAGTCCAAAAGGCATGACTAAAAATTCATAGAGGCCGCGATGAGTAATAAACGCTGCTTCCCTGAGTGAATCAAGGGTATCGTCAACTTGAGGCATAGGATATGCTGTACGAATTGTATTAGCATTCAACTTTCGATAATCAACACAAAATCTGAGTGTACCATCTTTTTTAGGGGATAATACGATTGGAGATGCCCAAGGACTATGTGAAGGAGTAATATGACTAGCTTGGAGCATCTCTTCTAGTTGTTGATCGACTATAGCTTTTTCAGATGGGGGGGAGACGATATGGTTGAGTGTTTGCGGATTGTGTTCCTGGTTAAAGTTCGATTACGTGTTTAACAAGATGAGTGCGACCAAGTTTCTCGGTGAAAACTTGTGGATATTGTTTAATAAGTGTAACTAGTTTAGCTTTTTGAATATCGTTTAAGTCAGAATAGGATAAATCAGGGAGACATATTTGTTCTTCTTCAATAGGATGAGGTGTATGAGATAATCTTGATAAGCTATTCAATTGATGTTCAGTCAATAGTTCCATAACGGCTAGTTTTTGTTGAGGATGAACCTCGATAAAATCATGAGAAAAATTTGAGATTTCAATAAAAAGTGATTTACTTGGTGAGATAAGACCATTGGCTGGCTACACGAGGATTTTCATGAAGTGAAGAAACGGAATATGTTTCATCTGGAGAAAATTTAGAGAATGGTTTCGTAGGTTGAACAGGGATAATCATAGAGTGGTATGGAGGTAAAGAATGTGCTTCAATAGCTGCTAAAGAGTATGATGACGAATTGGAAGAGGTAAGAGAAGAAGTGTTATACTGATCGAGAGATGGCGATTGAGATGCAAAAGAATTTGTATCTTGTGACTGCTTCGGAAAAATAATTTGATCGTGTGTA